TGCTAGATACCGAAGTCAGATTACATTCCCTAAATATAAGAGGGCCTTTTCCTTGGTTTGATTGGATGGCCATCGTGCTGCAGTTAGAAATCGTCACCCACATTTTATTGTATTGGCCGTTTTATGCGGCACATGGTCAGAGCTGATAACTCCCCATTGAAACCAATTTCCTAGTCATTCTGATCAATTTTATTTGAATTTTTTACTCTCAGATATCCATGACTTTATAACTCTAAAGCTAGTTAAATTCTGCTACATCATACAGGTAGTCCTCGCTTAAATATCACAAGCGGGATCCGAGTTTCGGTAGCTAAGCAATGTGCTAGTTATGAGACGTCATGTGACCAGTTCACTTAGCGACTGCAATCCTGGCACTCCCGGCTGCTATTCTTAAGTGAGAACTGCAGCCCGTTAAGGAGTGTCCCAGGTAAGGAGCATGGGGGTGCCTCAGGGTGAGTGGGAGTGGACGCCACAGCTTCCCCTGGGATCCTCAGCTGCCCAGCCTGGCCCAGCAGGACTTATGACAACAGGGACACTGCAACTCCCCCCAAGTGCCACTGCGCAGGGCGGCCAAAGGGCATAGATGGAGCGGGAGAGAGGTGGGTGGGGGGAGTTGCAGCGACCCTGTAGTCATAAGTGTGGGCAGGCTGCGAAGTGCCTGAATTTTGATCACGTGACCACAGAGGCGTTGCAACAATGGCATCTTCACGCACAGGGCATAAATCCATTTTTTTAGCATTGTCATAATTTCGAATGGTCGTTGAATGCATGGCCATTAGGCTAGGACTGCCTGTCTGCCAAATGCCCAGGTGAGTGATTGATATGCCAGTTACTTTTACTAGTTGTTCTTTTTTATAGGTAACCAGTTCTATACTGTTGAGTTTTATTTTGTACCGGTCTTTGACCGCAATATAAGTGCTTTATTTGACTTACAAGCAGTTCAAATTATGATCGCTGTGCAAAATAATGCAATGAACATCTACAGATGGAACTCATTTAAGAAAGCAGCAATTTCCTTAAATCTGCTGCTGTGTATCTCAGCTTCTCAAGTGTCTTTAACTGAGGTGGGGTGGCTTCCAAACTCAGGGATGTCTTCAGCATTAGACTTAAATTGATGTCTGTATAATTCCATCTACGTTAATTAACATGAGGAACTACCCAGTTTCTTTCCAAATCTTTCCTAATCACATCTTCAAGGATCTGATAATTATGCTTCTGCTAGTGCCCTCTGATTCTGGCCATATTGCCAAGAGCAGAACTGGTGGAAAACTTGCAGATAAGAACCAGGTCCCTATAGTGCCCTCTGATTCTGGCCATATTGCCAAGAGCAGAACTGGTGGAAAACTTGCAGATAAGAACCAGGTCCCTATAGTGCCCTCTGATTCTGGCCATATTGCCAAGAGCAGAACTGGTGGAAAACTTGCAGATAAGAACCAGGTCCCTATCCCAGAGAGGCTAACTTTGGGAAGACAAAAACAAAATCCTTACCACGATGAGTCAACCCCTCTACTTCTCCTGCTTTGACAGAAGAGATGGAGCAATCCTTTGCCTTGCTACCCAGGAAGGAATATACATAAATATATATATTTCCTCTGCAGGCTAAAGAGCACAAGGGAGGGTCTAGCTTTATGTACAACTATGGCAAACTCATGATCAGTTAACGTGCTTGTCTGCTGACAAGAATGTCGTTAAGAAAAGTTGGGTCAGGTGTGACATGAGTTCATTATAAACAACATCTGGTTTTTATACAACTACTTTTTTATCTGTACTAACTCACACAACAGATAATGCCGATTTGAAAAAAATAGGCAAGAGGTGTGGCATTATTTCCCATTCATATGACTCAGGAATGGCTGACTAGGTGTGGAAGGGGAATGGCGGCAGGTTGTGCTTTTTTGTAGCTCTCACAATTCATTCAAGGGACGTGGAAAACATGTGGCTTTGAAGTTGGTGGAGGAGTGCAAGACATGGAGGCAGCCCCGGGAAGAAGAGGCTGCGAGCGACAGACTCTGCAAGCTTCTGGACGGCTGGGCGAGAGAGTTTGTTGCATCTGTGTCCTTTGTTATTCTTGCCAGAGGGAAAACACAGCCGGGAAGCAGGGAGTAAAAGATTTCGAGAAGCCGCGTTCCAGCCTGTTGTCAGAGAGAACCGCTGCCTCTCTCTTCTCTATTTAAAAGGGACCTTCTGTATTAACTATAAAAGAAACTTCCTTGACAGTGAAGAAAACTTCAAACTTTTTGGTGAGACTATCTCCACTTCGCTAAGGTACAAGAAATGTAGGGATTAATTAATTAATTAACAATCACCATATTTGTGATCAGCTACTGGATGATTAAGGAGATAATGGTCTGTTAAAATAGAACTCTGTAATATGTGATTTTTGCTATAATTGACATTGTTATTGTGCCTAGTCCGAAAACAAGGAATCCTTTTGCCAGGAAATATAATATTTTAAGTGAAAATATTTAATTATTTGGGAAATGAACACTAGAGGTCAGCTTCGAAGAAAATCAGAAACTACTGAGGGAGAAGGTATGAGAGCCA